ATGATACTAACTTTGCTATTTCAAGTGAAAGCGTCCTCAGGCGAACGAGGCATCAAAGACTAAGGAACTGACGAAGCTCAGCAACGGCTGCTGCAACGCACCCGCTTGGCGCATGAAAAGAGGATCGGCCAAAATCAGGGAAGCGCTGACGGGTGCTCGAATTCACATGCCACATTTGGTGCCCCTGCAAGAAGCACATGACGGCGCTCACGCGGAAGGTGAAGAATGGCTACGTTCCTTCTGCAATGCCACATTAAGAGTTTAGGACATGATAATAGAAATATATTTAGCGCTGGCTTGCTATTCAGAAGTCAAAAATAAAATTCTAATTTAGATTTTTCTATAGTGGCCGAAACATGGGAATGTCATTGGCTTCCAATAAATATGGCTATAACCTTCACGCGTTTTATTTGTTAAATAAGTCTTGAAGCCTTCTCAGAGCACGCTGAAGGATATTAACGTTATATTTAGTGCCAGGCTCCTGCATTACACGATTACTCGGCTTGACGGCCGAAGGGTAATGTAGCAGAGGAGTTTATCTTTTATTAGGAGCAGTGTTAATATATGGTAATTCCACTATGTTCTATAAAGTAAGATAAAAACGCAAATAATGTGATGTAATACGTAATAAATGGCGTTGTAATAGGGAGGTGAATGTAATGGAATGTGAAGCTGCGTAGATTTTCTGGTGGTGGCTCATATTGCAAGGAAGAATGATGAAAGGGAAGGAACAAAGACTAACCAGACGCGCGTTTCGTTTGCTTTCCTACAATAGGAGAAGGGGAATGAGGGATTAAATGATAAACGATACAGAAGGAAGGGAGCACACAGAAAGCACTGCTGCGTTCCATGATAGTGAACGCAGGATATCGGCCACCTCATGTTGCACTGTAGGTAGTCGAGCAATAGTGTCTACTGAAGGCTGTCAAGTACTGGACACATACTATTGAACACTTGTTGCACGGTTTGAGCGTATGGCGAGTTGAGCTTGGCAACGAACCTGTTCAACTTCGCCCCTAGTTGGTTCACTTAAGGTGCAGCGTTGTGAACTTACCACTAGATGTGACGATCGGAAAATCATTCACGAAAGAAGAGTATAACTCTTAAAGGTATACCTGAAGATACGAACAAGTCTCATGACGAACTGCAGTCGAAGGTTTTGAACGTATTCAACAAGCTTTCGCTGCAATGTCCGCAGATGAAACGCCTTCACAGGTTAGGAAGAATGCACCCTGGGTGTTTTCGTCCTAATATAATAAAGCTACTAGAGTTCAATGAGAAGCTAGCGATGCTGATAAACGCGTATAAGCTAAAACAGTCTGGTCTAAAGCTTTTCGAAGATTTTTCACCTAGAGTACGCACAGTACGCAAAAAACGTTGAGATGCTTCGGTAGAGCATCGTAACAATCAATGGCTCTAACATCAAAATGAAATTTTATCACCCACTTATTGACAATATTCGCTATAACTGGGACAACATCATGAATAGCTTGGTTAGAGATCCTAGCTTTCAGTCAAGCACCCAATTGTCAAACGCATCATTTTCATTAGGTTGTTTATCCCATTCAGTTTGTTTTTCTCAGACTTTGCACTTTTTCATGTTGATACCAAAAGCATAACTAAACATTTCCACAGGTTCTTTTGCTATTGCTAGTTTATTAATCTTCCCATCATATCATATGCATAATGAAAACATGGCTTCCCTAGGATATTCGTGATACGAAATTCACTCCTCCTGGTTACGTTGCTCTCTAGTTCGACCGCCCATACAAAAAAAGTAGGGGTCGTCTTACTCTTGCGCACTCGTTTTGACTTTCAGATTTTGTCAGGTCTTCCTCATGTAGAACCCATTTGGTGTTAGTTACTAGTGCGTAAGCAGAATTTAGCGATTCGCGAACTTTGTCACCCTCCTAATAATTTCAGTGGGTTCTTCAGTAATCTTTCTCAGTTCATTCATAATCAAGATCGCGACAGCTCAAAGTTGATTATATTTGGGGACTTCATGTTTCAGGCATTTTATAGCCTTCCCTTACATACATATTCCGCCACTAATTCACCTATGTGTAAGAATGAAATTTTCATTTTTCTCGTCGTATAACCTGATACAATTGGTTCACAAGAATACGTGAAAAAAATCTACACTGGACCCACTGTTTATCAGTGACAGTCTTGCTAACTTAGTCGTTGAACACGATATGTTACAAAGAATACCGGACCATACCACAGTCCTTGCACATATTAATTGTCCAAACCCGCGCGAAAGTTTCAGCTACTCTACATTTCGCGTTTTCTACACAGCTGATGATACATCTAACTCTGATACTTTGGGAAATAACTTTGACCAATTTTTGTCCTTAGTACTACGTATCTGTTGAGAATATCAGCACTTATTTTGATACTTCAGTGAAGTCCTGCATAATTATTTACAATCCATAAAAACTAAAAAGCTGAATAACAAGCTGCCTTGGATTAGCAGAGTGGATTTCCCCTATCGTGCCTTGTTGCCAGACTGCGTAAAAATATAAGCAAACCCCAAGCTTCAACCTTCCTTTGAAAAAGCCACGGCAGAACTTCAAGCTGCTTTAAAATTTTGAAACAGTTCTACTTTTCAGTACAACTTTTTTTATTACTTAGATTCAATCTTCGCAGGTTTTGAACTTTAGTCTTGCCTGGTACGAAAACCAGTTCCTTTTTCCAGATTAATGACACCATTTCAAACTACCTTATTGTAGTTTATAATGAATCCTTCGTCTATCATGAGTCTTTCTTGTAAGATACTCCACATGGACAGCCGGTTACCTTACAGTAATCTTCAAGAAATCACTATAGACTACAGTAAAGTACCTGCTTAATGGAAAACGGCGAAAGTATTGCCCTTATACAAATCTGGTGATAGACAACTCTTATCTAATTGCAGGGCAATATATCTTACACCACAGTCATGCAAGATGCACTAACACATTATTCAAAAACATACTATATAATCATTCGGATCCAATGAAGTTGTAACCCTCAGCTCAGCATGTTTTTCATGTTAGCTATAGCACAGTTACACAATTAGTAATTTTGTTCATGTTGTAGGCTCTAATCAGATAGAGCAAAATCAAATAGGTGTCATTTAAAAAAACTTCTCTAAACCTTTGGACCCTGTTATTTACTAGAAGTTGCTGGTGAAAGTTGATTCCATGCTCAATAATTCACGTCTTGTTTTTTGGATACCCAGTTTCCATCATTATCGCTCCCAATTCGTTTCTTTATATTCAGTGAAGTCATCCCTTGTTGACGTCACGTCAGGTGTTATGCAGGGATCTCTACTGGGTCCAATATGGTTCCTCTCACACGAGCGCGTGCGCATATATATATATATATATATATATATATATATATATATATATATATATATATATATATATATATATATATATATATATATATATATAAATATTTATTTATATTTATATATATAATTTGCCGCACTGCACCTCATCTTAATTAAGACTTTTTGCGAACGATTGCGTATTGTACAAATTCAATAATTCTTCGAGAGATCAAACCCGTCTCTTACAACCACTCATTTCCTCCAGCGCTTCGTGCAAATGCAGCAGATCAACGTAAATTGCAATGAAGCAGTCTTCATTTCATTTACCAATAGCCAAAACGCGTATTCATTTGATTGTCCACTAGATGGTACTCAACTTAAGAGTGTCACAATATAAATATCTAGGTGAAATTCTAACAAAAAATCTTTCTAGACTAACCACTTTGAACACATCAGCGGGAAAGCTCCTGAAAAATTTGGTTATTTCCGCCGTACTTTGGCTAAATTCTCCCGCGATATCAAAGTGTATCTAGAATATGTATCTGTAGTTTAATACCCTCACAAACAATGCGAGCTAAAAATGCTTGACAGCTTCCAACGTAATGCCATCCTTTTCATATGCCGTAACTACAGCCACAACTTTTCACCAGTACAGGTCCTGCAATCACTGGACATTGTGCCATCGCATTCTCATTACTGTATCGAATCTTTGAAACTATTATAAACAGTTATCGACTCCTGTACTGGCATCCTTGCTGGTAACAACGTAGCATTTATGGAAGAAACTTGCACCCGCAACTCCCACAACTTGAATATAAAGCCGTAATTTGCTTGCAAGAACACATTGAAATTTAGTTTTAGGAGCTAAGCTCCTTGAGGTGTGGGTCTGTCTATCCTCCGATGGTGTATGTACCACCGGTGGCACGTACCCCAAAGAGCGGTCCTTGGTCTATTGTACTTCAGTTCAGTTTTGTTTTTTGCTCTGTTGTTTTCATTCTTCATAACTTATCCACTCCTACTATAGCCCTGTACTTGGGCTGCCACATATTCAAATGAAATAAAATAATTGCACCTAGGAGTAACTGAAAAGCTATTAAACTATGTACAAGTGTACACGGCACTGCTTGAACAACGTGCGTGACGGCGGAGTGGCTGAGTACTTCTGTCAGCTTTCATCACTAACGTAGGTTCAGTTTCTATGTTTAAGATAATAATTTAGTAGTCATTTTTTGGAAAATTGAGTGATAATTTTGGAGAAAGAAGGGCTGACACATTGAATAACTACTGCACTCGCTCGCGGCTCCCCATTGAATAGATTGCAACAGCCTGTAAGATCCACTGAAATTTTGTTCTTTTATATTCGTGTACGGAAACACATGCAGTGATAACTGTGCTACTCGAGGAAAAAATAGCTTTGTTTCACTAAATAGCATCTACAGTCACAAACACACATCATTCAACAAAAATAGTGCGTAAATCACCTGCAATGTTAATTTAGTTTATTCTCACTGTGAAATGAATTTGTCACAAAAGAAGCACACACAAATAAGTTAATATTAAAGCCCCGGTAAGTAATTAGGAGCTGAACATTTCACAAAACAAGTGTCAAATTGTAATCCAACTGCAACCACCAAAAGGGTTCAGCAAAAGTGTGAAGATGCACAGTCACGCTACGAGTTCTTTCACACACTTTATCCTCAAGTTTAGTCACTTTGAAATTGGCACGCATCACCAGGTACCTCTCCGAATTCAGTCATTTCATCTTCCAAATACGCATCTTCCATTCTCAGTGTCTTCATTACGGTGGACCGCATCGACAAAACCAGGTTCTGGGCGGCTATTCGAGCTTGGGGCTTCTTCCAAGAGCGGAGTTCAACCCGGAACGCCGTTTTTAGCTCGTAGTAGTGAGTCCTGGTCGCCATACGAGCCAAGCGCACGCGGTTGTCAGCCGTGCGAGGCGAGATGTCGGCGGTGCGCTGATAAAAGTCCAGGGAGGTCTCGCTAATCTGCAAGCAATCTGCGATCATTCGACCCTCCAGGCGCATGCCGTCCCTAAGAGCGACGGCCACGGCCCATGTGAGCATCATCTGGTTTCTGTGGAGGTACTGCAAGACATTGAAATCTCGCTCAGGAAACTCGTCCCGAAGCTCACCCCTGTACATCTTCACAACCACTACGGACAGGTTAGTCGAAAGACCACGGACAAAGTGGTCCTTGAAAGGCAAGTAGTCAGCGATGTCGTTCCAATAGAACTCGAGCCGACACAGACTGCGATTCCTGCGAAGCATGTCAGCAAAAGTGGTAGCCACATTGTCTTTCAAGTCCCAATTCTCGATCGTGAGGAGAGCGACGCTTCTGGACTTGGCCAAAGACGCGAGTATCTGTTCGGAACCTTTGGAGGAGATGGGACCATGAAGACGCAGAACCCTGAGCAGGTGGCTGCGCTCTATCACGACCGCCAATAACATTGCGCCTCCTGTGTTGATCTCCTGCGCATTTGAATGAGAAGCATTAGCAAGGTTATCCCACAACCCTGCTTCACAGCACACAGCTCGGTGTTTGAAGCGTAAAACTCGAAGCACGTGGCCACCAGCGCTGTAGGTCACGGTTCGTGCGAGAGCAATTGTTTACGCATGGTCGCTATCTTCGGTGAACACCCGTTCGGTCTGGTTCCATTGGTGACACCGGTGCAGCCCTGCAACCCTTCGCGAGTCGCATCCCTCGCTCCAGCCAATTTACGCGGCGCGGTGTATGTGGGCAGTGTTTTGCAGCCGTGGCAAGCAACCTATCCACGACTGCGCCACTAAAAACTACAGGCTGAATGCTTCACCGGATGCAATCACCATGCGGCACGAACGCTCTGGAACTCGGTCACACTTACCGCCACCAGCTACGCACTCTACTCGCCTATACTTTATTACACAGTGACGCCCAGAAAATTCCTTGAATGGTGGCTTAGAAGGTGGTTTGACTAGCAGTCAAAAGTGAGCCTTCACAACATATGCATGCTCACTGGCAGCACTTAATCACGTCATTCAGGTGTACCAACCCTCCACAATACAAGCGTCAAAGCTCCGCATAAACGAGAAAAACTGAGACAGCGTAAACTAAAAAAAAAAAAACTGGTGGGATTGCTTAGGCAGCACTGCATTTGAGTAGCTACCCTGGCATGTTTAGCTAACGCTACATTGACATGGTATATCAAAGAATTATCGGACACCTAGCAACTTTAATACAACTAATTTATCTTGAGCAGTATATGCTACAACTATGGAAGTCGTAGAAAAATGACAAGCAGAATATATCCGCAACATTGCCACGCTATAACTGAGTAGCGCTGCAGAGAAAGCTCTGTTTAGATGAATGGGCTGAGCAGGTCCCTGACTACATGAGTTCATTGTCTGTCACACTCTTGCGCGTTCCACGGCTCCCCAGCGTACGTACAAGCCGGCCTGCTTGGACGCTGAACAACACTGATGTGATACACGTGGCATTAGCAATACCAAATTGATACGCGGGTAATCGATGTGGACACTCGGGCTAGTTGGTGATTCATGCTTTATAGATACTGAGACATAAAAAACACGGGCTATCAACTAAAGGCTTATTCATCACACACACAATAAAGTATATATATATATATATATATATATATATATATATATATATATATATATATATATATATATATATATATATATATGGGAAAGAAGTGTGCACCTAAGGGCTCGTTTTTCCGTGTTTTGACACAATATTATGAAATCTAACAGATCTCATATTGTGTTAAAACACAGAAAAACTAGCCCTTAGTTACGCACTTCTTTCCCTTTTCATTAACGAGGGTCTCGTACTCGCAGACTCGGTGTCATTAGGTTGTATACGAGGGACTATTGGTCAGCTGCCCGCTCGTAATAAGTTCACGTGCAACGTGACGCCACACATGCGCATAAAAGAGTGTCACACTCGCCGCTTGGCTACAGAGGGCGCTGACTGACTCTCCCACTTCTAAATTCACATATAAACCCAAAAAAAGTGGGTGGAGGGAAGGCCGCAGTGATAGCTCAGTCGTTATAACATCGAACACGTTATTCGAAGGTCGTAGGTTTCTGCTCACGGCTGGTTATTTTTTCACCCTCTTTTCTTCTTATTTACATTCCATTTGCTCTAATAACTTCCCCATTACACTCTTTGTCTGTTAGATCTCATTATATATATATATATATATATATATATATATATATATATATATATATAGTGCCACAAGGCAGTAGTGGGATTGGGGCATATAGAGGTAGAGGGTCCCTGCCTGAAAGACAAGACTACGAAGTGGATAGAGACTGGTCTCAGTCAGCCCGCCAATTTGCCAGGCATTGCCGTCGCGCGTAATCGTCGTAAATATCGGCAAATATACGTTTCCTTGTGAGAATAAATATATATATATATATATATATATATATATATATATATATATATATATATATATATACTCAGGGCCTAATAATCAACTTTCAGTTCATTGTTCGCGCTTCTCCTTATCTACCGATCGTCCATTCGTTCACGTTTTCTATAGCGCAGTATACATCGATTTTGATATGTAGGTCTTTACGCATTCAAGCACGCATGCAGTAGACGAGTGCAGAAGCTAAAAACCTGCAGAACAGATGCAATTGAGCAGGGGACCTATTCTCGATGTGCCCACGTAGTATACATGTCTACTGTGGCGGAGTGCATTCATTGCTAGATAAAGTCGTGAGCAGCAACATTACGGTGATTTCGACCACGTCGACGCGCTGAAATCACCAGCACATCCGCAGCATGAAGAGAAAGTGTAAAAAATTTACACTATCAGGTCTCTTAAACTTTAGAAGTCTGAACTTGCGTATGAGCTTGTTGAGATGTTTGAAGAACCATGCAGGCAATGCGTACCTATTTTCCAGTTGTGTTAGGCAGGCGGCCACGTGAAATTCAGTTGAACTGATTAGAGCCCATGCTCCAACAGCAATAATGTTTATTTTCAGCCCGCTTATCAACGTTACTTTCAAACATAAGCTACAGGAAGAGGTAAGGACTGAAATCTTGCTTTTCCAATAGGAAGTGACAACGGGAGTGGGAAAGCAGGGGAGTTCTTATGTCGTACTGGAAGCTGGAGGTTGTCAAGTTTTGGCGTACAACATGTGGCATTATTGGTCAATTTCACAAGCACGCTTGGTTTTTTTTTTTTTTTGCATAATTAAGTCAATAAGTAACGGAAGATCGACGTAGCAGCCTTATGTGTTGCAAAGGCCTGGTGGGTTATGGAGGGGCCCCACATAAGATTCGTTCACGCCATTATTAAGCTATTATTCCCACTATTCGAAAGTGGCAGAACACGAAGGAGGCCCATGAGTATGTTATCAAATAATGTGCAATAAAACGTCAGTGATACGGTGACGGCTCTTACGAATTTCAGGGTGATGAGAATTTGATATGTGGGGTTTAACGTCCCAAAACCACCACGTGATTATGAGAGACGCCGTAGAGGAGGGCTCCGGAAATTTCGACCACCTGGGGTTTTTTAACGTGCACCCAAATCTGAGCACACTGGCCTACAAAATTTCCGCCTCCAGAGGGTGATGAGAATTTGTACGTGGTCCCAGGCAAGGTCCATGAACTGGCATTGTAGTAGTGTACGGTATTTGCAAGTGGACACACATGACATTTCGTGAGATTGTACCCTACGTAGCATGTACGACCAGGTGCTTCCCCGTTAAGGCAAAAGACGACAAGTTCACGCTTGGCTATGTGTAAGTAGTTCGAAGACATCATATTCATATTTGTCGCGTCGCATGTTGCCCATCAGGGGCACTCGTCCCTACCATTCTAAACAGTGTAGTCTTTCTTGAGGCCGAAATTCTCGTCTGTCTTTGTGTCTGTGTGCCTGTGACGCTATTCAGCCCTCCCAGGCAAAGTTTAGGCAATGTTCGGATGGCCTGTCATGTTGAACTGGTGGCTGCGTTCATACTTGTGAAAGTTGTCATTCAAAAAGTAAATGTTACGCATATCTAAAGGAGATCAATGCCTAAGTATTAGCCAGTATCCTCCTTTACTAGTAAGTACGTAGATACGTAATTCTAAAGTCCCTAGTGTTTCTTACGCTGTGCTGAACTGTCGAAGCTATGCATGAAAAAGCCCTCTGCAGGTGATATGGTGCTGGTGCTGCCAACTGGTGGGACGGAAATGGTACAACAGCAGCACCACAGGTGGCTGCGGATGAGGCCAGCACTCGTGTAGTACGACTGACGTCTTTTTTCTGACATTTTCAGCAATGCACACATTTACGCGTCCGGTTTCTCTGTAAAGAATGAAAACTTCGGTCGTACCCTCCGAGATAGTGGCAACGAATGCTGAAGGCCTCGGTCCATCTTGCTCATTCATCACTACACACGCGCTTATTGACAACTGGAAGCATGCTTGTTGGTGCCCGAAACTTTTACTAGCAATCACGCGGAGCTGTTCGTGACATCGTTGTTGGCCTGCGAAAAAACGGGTGAAAATCTACGCAAAACTTCTTCCGTCAAGTGCGGATTTTTCACGTGTTCCGGTGATACGAATTTCTGATGATACAAATATTTGGTGACCCCACAAGTGTCGTTTTATCAAGGATTTGCCGCATACGTTAAATTCAGAAGAGATCGTAATGTTTCTGGTGTTTTATAGCCATGCCTTGAGTACTCGCCTTGTTAAAAATTCATAAGAGGTGGCTGTGTGTGGAGGTGCAACAAAATCGAAAGACTATTTGGCATTACCTTGAACCCAACTGAGCGATTTTACTTCTGCGTTCTATACAAGTCCTTAGTTTTATATGGGCGTGGTACAGGTTTGACTGGCGAAACAAGCACCAGCTTTCAACAGCAGTATATTTTAATAAAGACCACATACACCAGTTCATACGCAGGGGCGACCTACAACCACCGTTGCTCTTGAAACTCAGCGTACTTCTACATCCAGAAGCCATAAAGCCGATTGGCCTATGTATTTATGTCCCTGTCTTTCAAAGAACAGAATGCACTAGCAACTTCTCTAGCTATTCCATCTTTTAGCGTTTTGCGGAAATACTTGCCATTGAAGTGAGCGGCACATTGGCACTCTGGTCGAATGGTTTACTTGTTTCAGAGTTGTGGTAGTAGGCCCCGCCGTGGTGGTCTAGTGGCTAAGGTACTCGGCTGCTGACCCGCAGGTCGCGGGTTCGAATCCCGGCTGCAGCGGCTGCATTTTCGATGGAGGCGGAAATGTTGTAGGCCCGTGTGCTCAGATTTGGGTGCACGTTAAAGAACCCCAGGTGGTCGAAAGTTCCGGAGTCCTCCACTACGGCGTCTCTCATAATCATATGGTGGTTTTGGGACGTTAAACCCCACATATCAGTTGTGGTAGTAGCTACACGAGTATTTTTAGTGGTGAATGGAAGCCTTGCACATCACCACGTTTATGTGCATATGTTTTCTTAAGTGGTCAGTAGATAAAAGTTGACGCTTTGTGGTCTTTAGCCTTCGCTATATGTGTTTCGCGCTCTGTTATAATGTATTCCTAAAGACTAGCTTAGCCACAAGTACTGCTTTTTTTAGTTCAATTTGTTGTATAGAGCGAAACAATCGTTAGCACTGTGACAGCACGTGCGTTTATTTTATTTAAGAAAACACAAAAGATATGCTTGTCATGCCGGGTCTGCTGCTGATGTAAGTGTTCTTAGAATTGAGAATCGGATTGCGCCTTATGACCTAAAAAGTCATTCTTGACAATGGAGTGGCAGGTGCAGGTACGTGTAAAATAAAACAGTAAGCAAAACACATTGTTACAGTTTTCGAACAAAAGGCTCCCTTCTGGAATCTTTACTGGTGGGAGGATTTAGCGGTGTGAAACAGGCAACCAAAAATTAATAATGAAAATCACCTGTTCGCTTTATTTGATATTTTGAAAACAATTATTTACTTCAACCTGCGAAAGCACACAAATAACCAGAAGTAAATCTTATGTAGAAATAAACCCCCTCACATTAATAGACCAATAATACACCATTATGAAGCCAGAACTGTTGAAGTGTGCATAACGTAGTCTGATGAAAAGCCGCTCAATACTTCGGGGGCTCAAAGGTCACTTGATATAATATTCACAAGGGTGTCTTGCTGGGGGAGTTAATATGATAGCATATTTTTTTAAAAAAACGTGGTCACAGAGAAACGCTGCGTACACGTCCGCACATGTGCCCCTTGTAAGTGTGTGAGTTTTCTGCACTACCTTTAGGGATGGAACATAGAGGGGAAAGTGACTGTTTTAATGAAAAACATTGCTGCCTCCATCGAGCATGAAGGGCCCATAAGGAGAATATTAAAGTTTTTACTTGAGCGACAGGGCAGCGTCTTGTATGCGGCTTTTTCAGCGTATTTTCTGCGACGCAACACTCGTGTTATTAAGATCATTAGCCTTAGTAAGGCTTTAAAGTTCGCTCTGTCAGAGACCACAACGAAGCGAATTGCTTGTGCGAACTGTGGGGGCTCTTCGTATCTACGGACATAACGGTTGTGTCTATAATAGCAACGGGTCCTCAGAACACCAAGCGCAACGCACTTTCCACCAAGCCTAGTCATCATGAAGGGCACTAACGGAAATAATCAGACAATATCAGCAAAAAAGATTGGGCTGATAGTAAAGCGTCATGTATAGATAGAATAATTGGAAGCGCAAACCAACGGGGCACAAGAGAAGACACAAACAAGCGCAGACTTCAACTGGTTTATCAGAAACTTCTTTAAAGTTTTTCCTAATGGCTGCAGTCGCCTTTGAAACGTATTGTTCTCGAGAGAGAACAACAAGACTCTGCGCTTGTTTGTCTCTTCTCTTGTGTCCCGTTGGCTTGCGCTTCCAATTATTCCATTATGAATTTGTACGAACTAACCCGGCTGTCAACCCTACTGCAATGTATAAATAGCTCTGAACACGTTGCACTTTGGAGGCATTCATCTTTTGTCTCGTGAACTGTTGTGCAATTATGTCATTTTCTGTTTATGCTGTAGAAAAATATAAATGAGCTTACCGCAGTGTTGATGATGGAAAGGCTTTGTAGTGACCATGCCGCGTACCTCAGGGAATGAAACACTGGATCCGGATCTATGTTTTCACTGAAAGACAGCGACAGCTTCGTGAAATTACCCTTTCCTTCTGAAGAGCGAAACACCCAAGGCAAAGATATATCCATAACGTTTTCAGTCAGCGCAAGCGTTATCCACGGTCTGACACGTTCGTCAGTCACGAGCCTGAACACGTCTCTTTCTTCCTGCTCATTCCCTACAATGGCCCCTAAGTTGAGTTCCTTGAACAACGCATTCTTCTGCTGCCTCAAGCTCTTGATGGCATTTATGAAGGCCGGAACGGCCTGACAATGAATCTGGCATCCGTCCAGATGAAGTTCTCTGAGACGGCTCCCCTCTAGAGCTTCGGCAAACCTCAATGACTGGTCGAAATTGATGATAGATCCAGAGAGCAAAAGGACTCGCACAGGAGAATGACGCATAATTTCTTCCAAACTGTTTAGGGCATCGCAATCTTCTGGCATTCTAGAGAGATCAATGCAGAGTTTGAGGCATCGGCAACAAGGATGCTTCTCAAGAAAGGCCCAAAGCGCAGCCAGGACACTTGGCCTGGTGATTGTCGGCTCCAGGGTCAGCTCCTCGAGTGTTTTGTTTTCCTGCAGACCAGTCAGCAAGCTTTCCATGCCATAGTCAACGTGTGCGTAGAGCCTTGACAGAATTGGAGCCTCGCCGACCAAGTGAAGGGTTTTTGCGAACATCCCCTTTGGTTCTTTGGCGGTGATTTTTATGCGGAAGTCCTGGAGTTTCTCAAGCTTCACAACCTTGTGAATGAGTTCAACAAATGTCTGCATGTTCATCTCTACGTCGATCATAATGACGGCTACCAGATTCTTGTTCTGTTCGATGCAGCGAATCAGAGCATCGCCATCTTCGTCGTTCAGACTCACAGTGGATAATCCCAATTCTTGCAACATAGATAGGCATTCCAGCTTGTACGCCCATGGATCGCCCTGGAAATCAGAACTTGACGCGCGTGCCGGCGGATATAGATCACACGGAGACGATCTAAAAGGATCCTCGTAAATTTCCAACTTGTGCACGTATTTCGTCAGCTTAAGCAGATGCATGAACAGGGACCGGTGCCTCGGTGCTAGGACAGGAATTAACAGGGAGACTTGGAAGATGCAACGATGCTGCCGCAAAATCCACAGGCACAAGCAGAGAAACTTGGCGTCGTCCGCTTTGTTTAGGTCATCAGGATCCACGTTCATGCAGCGGAAGTAGAATGTACCTCTCCGCAATTGAACAAGCTCGATTCCTCGAGAGTTCAACAGGTAGTTCCACGCCCGCTGGTGTTCAGTGGCCCAACACTCCGGATGAATCTCTGTGAAGGTACAGGCTGTGTTCAGACGCATTGTGGGGTCCATGTTCGAGATCTGTTCATTGGCAACATTGAACATGGCGAGGACGTTGAGCGCTTTGCCGAAGACGTTTGGAGCAGCAGCTGATAGCTCTTCGGCATATTCTGTAAGTGTGGGGCCTTCGTCCTGCTGAAATAAGAAAGTCAAAGGTAAGTAGGCACTCAGCACTGAACACAACCGAGGCATCTGAAAAGTGGCATGTTCTCTGTGAATGAAGTTTAGTTCTGACAGATAAAATGACTCCTTAAAAAAATATAATGCTCAACTGCTGCTTTGTTTAAAATTCGAGTTAAAGACTTGATACAATAAAGAATGTTTTCCGAGATAAGTCGATACTGAACCACCTAAAAAGGTGCTTTTATCACGTGGCAGCTTCTAATGACCATGACAGCTAGCAACACGACCAAAAATAAGGCCATTGACGAACGCTGTGGGCAGGACGGCTTCCAAGTGGTGCTGAAAAATATTTCAGCATGGTACCGCCTTAATTCCATGAACATAAACACCACCAAGACTGCTTTCATGCTTTTTTATATCAGTCACAGAACAGCAGAAATACTTCCCACTATCATTCTTGATTCTCATGTCACTAGTGCAGTTGATCAATGTTCATTTCTTGGTGTACTTTTGGATCAAGCTTAAAACTTTCGAAGCATATCGCCCATGTGAAGCGCAAAATTGATCCTGATATTTGAATTTTAATAAAAGCCAAATACTACTTCAGCAAACCTACACTACTCACACTATTATTTTTTCATTCACAGTCTCCTGAACTACTGCATCACGTCGTGGGGTACCACATATGCAACACAGATAGCACCCGCTACAACATTTACAAAATCAGGCCATCTGTATACTAACTTTCAGTTCATTCAGCTGCTCTGTGTCCGAAATTCTTCCCAATAACAAAATCCTTTTACTAGACAGCCTTGTAAAATACAATTTAACCATAGTGTTATGTGAAATAATGAACTCTCCTCCAGTGAACACAATTCCAGAAGCTGTTCTGGTAAACACCAACCAAACAAGAGTGGCAGCTAACAATTTATTATTGTCTTTAGTCCAGACTAATTATAGAAAGCACTCCGGTTGTTTCACAACGTTATTGACCTGGAATAGTCTTTCCCCTAACGTTAAGCTGTCTTCACCATTAGCTCTTTCTAAAACACATTGTCATTTCTGCTGAATACCTTAAAATTATAAGATGTGTAATACTATCTACGCTTCTTCATATTTATGTACGCTTAGTGGTGACATGGCTTCTCTTCGTTTTCTTGCTTTTTTTGTTCCCCTGTTCGTTTAGTCAATATTTTCTAAATATTTTCGTTATTTTTGATATGTTCTAAGCGGTGTTTTTTTGTACCTATGATTGTTAAAATATAACTATCTTTAGTCTGTATTCCACTTATTTGTATAACTTATTCCACGTTGTTGACAGAGCAGTGATTGTTAAAATTTGACTATCTTTAGTCTGTATTCCACTTATTTGTATAACTTATTCAACGTTGTTGACAGAGCAGCATTTTCCTTGTACATATTTAACACATTTTCTCATTGAAGGTCTTCCTTCAGCCAAGGGCTCTGGAACATCCTTCTGTATGTTTATGTAAGCGTGTGTTTTCTACGAAAGTGAAAATAAACTGAAACAAATTGACGTCTACCTCGACATTTATTCGACCATACAAGGGAGACGGTAAGGGCCAATAAGTGGCATTGTTTTGTGGACTAAGACTCCCTACTGCAAGGATTTTTTTTGTCCTAATAACTATTTCTCTCTCTACCTCTTCTGTTAAAATTAGAACGAATGGCTGAACATCGTTTTCAACTGAATATATTAATAGTATCCATATGTATCCACTTCGTGAACTGCTAAAAGTATCCGCTGCCAAAGTGATTGGTGAGCAGCCTTCTTCAATATCGTTGGACAGGAGGCATCGCCCGTAGAGTATAGCCATCGCATTCTACGTGTTTCTTGAAATGACTTGAAGCTAAGCGTGTACTCTTCTTCAGAGGACAACTAGCTGTCATTTAACTTCACTGTGTTGCGTCTTGCTGCTGGGAATCGCTTTGCCAGATGCACTAAAATGTTCGACGACCATTGGAGATGACGCGTTCCAGGACCTACGCCGAGAATAAATTTTTGTACGCCCTAACCGAACACAAACAAACAAAATGCATTCATACATAACTGTTCGTTCTTTACACGTGATGGCTTTAAAGAGCTTATTTCACTCAAACTCCAGCGTCAGTATCAACGTCGGTGTCAGCGTCGTTGGTTGAGAGTGAACAACCATCTTGTGTGTTACTAAAAAGTCGAGAAAGATGAAAATCAAGCGAACGTTCCGGGTCTTAGTTAGGATTGAACTGAGGCTGTTTGCGTGGAATGCGGGTGTTCTACCACACAGCCATGCGTCCTCTTTTACACGGTATTTATTTCAAAAACGGTTTACGTATGCAGATGGCTTACAAAATACCTTAGTACATTACGTATTACAGAACAAAGTCCCTGAAACACTTAATAAAAGGGTATTTTAGGAGTGCACTTCATGAACTTATGATATCAGCCCAGTTGAAACACCAAATCTTCATAAAATTGTAAAATTGTTTAGGCTGTATAATAATTTGTACACAATGGGATCGCAACGATGCCTTTGGTTCTGTATGCCTGAACATTTGCATTAACTAGAGCACGTCAACTCGCATATCAATGAATTTGTCTATAGTCTATACTGTAAGAGTATAAAACTATCTTTTTAAAAGCCCTGTTCAGGGTGTCCAAAAAGAGGATGGTGTTTTTAAAGCTAATGAACCAATGTTACTTTTTGTTCAAGTTCACAGAGGCGGCACTTACTTGAGGATACAAGCCTTTGGTGCTTCACCGGGATTTTATAAGTATTTTTTATGTATGCGCTTCGCAGAAAAACGTCATTATTGGTGAAGTAGGCATTTTATTCATACGTGCTAGCACGTCATGACCCGGCAATTCATTATATATATAGCGGTACAGTGGGGCTGAAAATTTGCAGCCGTGCCTGCCAGTACATGTTCTTTGAGGCTGCGCACGTGAAGTTCAAGCCATATTGATTTTTAAGCAAGTTTGTTAAGCTTAAAAAATGTTGATCTGTTCTATGGCCTAATTAGTTGGAAGAGAATGGTGCTTGCACAATGACACAGCCAATATGTCGCGTTTCACAGACGCGGTGAGTAGAGCCGCATAATACCAAAAAGTCGTACCTGGTTTTGGGTCGAGCTCTGTGCCTCCGATCCTGCCGTGACGGAGGGTTCTGTGGACGACTGCTCCTGGCTGCTGCTGGCTGATGGCTGCTGATGAACAAAAACAGGGCGGAAAAGAACATAAAGAAAGAAGAAACTAAAAAAGACAAAAATAGGGCTCCGGTAATTTCATCACTGTGACGTTCTTTACGTCCACTGATAACGCGAAGCTCCCCATCTGGCATCTCGCAAAGTGTGACCGCCACCGCTGGTAATGAGCCTACCAAATTCGACTGAGTGGCCAAGCAATACAAGAAGAGGTTAAACCTTCAATACTTACGGGAACGCCTAGCACATAGGAAGATCACCTTTCCATGAAGCTCGCTCGTTAATTTTCAAAGAACGAACGCGTCACCTGCACGAGGTTATGGTCACTGAATGGTTTAATTCATATCTGACTATCTGTATTTGTTATTTTGTTGTTATAGGCAACAATGACTGTTTTCAAACCACCACTTATCAACCAAGGTTCAAAATTATGTAGTCGATGCGGCACTGGGTACCAGATTATTTTGGGCATGCATGCGACGCACTAGAAGAATAACAGTTATGCGACTGACAGCGTTATGATAAGGAAGCAACCTCGCAAGAATATACCTACAAATATGAAAAACAGGTCCCATTTCGGGTTGAGCTCAAGCGTCAAAGACACTCAACTCTAACTGACATGTGTTGAAACCTGGAACACTAACATGTAGCTTCCTGGAGAGACCAATGAAACGCCGAATATGCATTTCGACTATGTCGATGGCCACACAAGTTCAGTATACACCTCATGTGACAATATCGCGTGACGCGATCACTGCGTGATTCATTTGAAGCGGGCTTTCATAGTGGTTCACTGAATTTTTCGTATGACGCCAGGCGGATTTCGAATGGGAGTGAACACAACTGGTAAGATAAAGCTCTTGGGTTGCCCTGGTTGGTTTTCAATGCAGCTCAGCTCAGTTTTCGAAGGCACACAAAAGCAATTAATTACAACTGCGATTTGCCGCACTGCTTTGTCATCTTATGCTAACGTCGGATTTTCTGCGTCGCAGCGAACACTATGTTGTCGTAAGACAATGCGATATGAAGGAAATCTCCAAAAACGGAAGCCATAAATTGACATGGCTGCGAATAAATTTGTGACAAACGTTTGTAGAGTTCAATTCACTTGCGCCCACCCCTCTGTATACAGTGAAGTGAGAAGGAAACATAAAAGGGAAGATGAAAATATGGCGTAAGTTTTACAGTGATGTTAGGCGAAAAAATAAATGTGAGGGTGACAATCAACAAAAGCTTAGTCAGTGCACAATAAAAAAAAGCTTCGGGTAGGTATTCAAATGTTTTTTTCAACCGTTCAGTCATTCGACTACTTAAAACTTTGAAGATGCCGGAGATGGAAGCTCATTTTTCCGCGAGATGCGATGGCATGCAGCCAGTAGCTGAAGCATTAAAAGCACTTCGCCGTGTCGATGGAGCGATAATGATGACGGCGTGATAACAGAACACAGTTTTGTAATAACACATGAAATATGATGCATAACACACTTCAGTAATGTTCTCAGTGTTCTTTTTTGAATAAATTCAGGAATTGTATCTTGCGGGCTGTAGTTGAAATTTGTATTGCAAGTGATAGCCTAGGCGATATCATGATAACAAAATAAAAAAAGGTGCATACACTGGAGCTGCCGTACAGTTAAACTTCGCTTTAGCGAGTTAGCCACGTACTCAGAACACTGATCAGTAATGTATATTGTCTCTATGTCTGCCGTAATATTTTCCGGACAACCTAGAAATATTCCTTGGTTGAGCTACTGTTTTTTCTCTACAGAAGCGGAAAACGAGTATTTGGCGTATGAGCGCTGCAAGTTGTAACTTGTAATTGACTGATCGGTGCACATGACAGAGCCTAAATGTTGTTCCGAGACGAGTTTGTTAATGTAATCATCTTGTTTTGGGTGTGGAACAGTATGAATATGATTCATGGCACTGCAGCAGAACGGCGCGCAAGCACTTTGAATGGTCATCTATGTCGGAGTACATCTTAACATTGTCACGCTGAAACGACGACGAGTTCACGTGCACGAAAGGATGAGGAGCAAGTCGCAAGAAAACTATTTAATTGGGCTGATTTGTGCCCGAAGTCAAAACAAGGCAATTGCCGCACACTGCAAATCGTGAATAAGTGTCACGACACCCACGGCAGTGTTTGCTTTAAAAAAGAGCGGTGTTTTCATAATGAAATATGGCACAAAAATACATAGAAAGTTCACGCGTTTTTGGTGGAGCGCATTTTAGATACACACTTGCTGGGCATGCCACTATCAACGCAATAAGTATGGAAAGTCATCGCGGCAATATACTCTGTCATTCATCATGCTGGAAAGCTTTCCAAAATGCTTGAAAAAAATGACAGCATTTCCGATGGAAGCCGAAGTTAGGCCCGTGTGCTCAGATTCTGGTGCACGTTAAAAAACCCCAGGTGGTAAAAATTTTCGAAGCCCTCCACTAAGGCGTCTCTTATAATAATATGGTGGTTTTGGGACGTTAAATCCCATATATCAAAAATATGACATAAGAAAGCAAATAAGAAGATAAGCACAATCAATTACTTTTAGGCCGGCGCATGTCCCTCTTTCACGCCTTATCACGTTTTGTAGATGACACTAGTCACCGCTGCTTTCTTCTGAAGGAGCGCTGCAAGCAGAACTGGGTACACGCTTACTTTTATGTTTCACCTTCAACAAACCTAACTGTTGTAAGTTTTTTGCGGTGTGATTTATCAGTACAACAAGAAAACTGACTGGGACCACATACGCAATAATAACCAGTCACAAAGTAAGCATTTTAAATGAATGTTAGAGTAAATCTTGCGGATTCTAAACCCCTTATCGTTTTAAATTCCTACGCAAAGTATTGTAAATCGGCACCATCGCTACCGTGTAGCAGAGCTCCTAGCAATAACGTTCACTTAGCTTCACAACATAGCTTTTGCAAAAGGCAAGCATAAGGATAAATTAGGCCTTGAATTATAAAACGCATGACTTAACAAAAGACTGTACGCAGCAACGGTTATCTTGCACAGCCATTGCTGAAGATAATGTTTCAAAAACAAATAGTGATCCCCTAGACCACTAAGCAGCAGGCTGCAGCAACTTATACACCAAGTTTTCCCGACAGTAGATACTCCTCACGGCAGCCTGTCGTGTGGTTCATCCTGTGGCATGCAACTGCGTGAAAGCGCATGAAATAGCAACATGTGCAGATAAAGTGTTCCTAACCATCCACTTAACCAGGAAAACGCCCTCGGGAAAAGCAGGCTACAAGAAACGACAGGCCAAATCTACCATCGAACCTTGCAGTGGAGCTAGTCTGCCCAGCCAATGCCACCCAGATAATTTCGGGCCTATTCACTTTTTTTACCGCGGGGTTAAATGGCACTCTGTTTATAACGGTATGTTTCACTACAAAGACGTGCGTATAGGGTTGCTCTGATCGCTCAACAGAAATGGATTGCCAAGCCTGACGAAAGTTTTTGTGGCGTGTTGGTGTGCATGTTGGCGTTTCGAGAAGACCGTGTTTTTCTGTTTCCATGAGCTGCCGCGTGGATATGTGATGCGCTTCGTGCGCGGGGTATTCGCCCTCTGTACGGCTGCAAATCCGAACGGTTGGGTGATGCTGTGTGGCAAATAGTCGCGGCAAAGGGACCAAGGTTGCGAGTGTTCTTGTTTCCCAAGGACAGCCGAAAAACGGGATAGGGGTGGGTCGTTCATCAAGCTGATGTCTACATCTGTTTTCTTCGTGACCTAAAGGTACGTGTCTCCGTATATACTCAATATTTCTAAGTCGTTTTATTGGCACTATCTCCACCATGTTCCGTTCTTGCTTTAAATTAAAGGTGTCATGTTTGCGTCTGACGTGTTAGCTTAAGCTATAATATTAAAATAATAAGCATGCGTGGCAGTAAGTTTTCAGAACAGGCGTTTATCTTTAAGGGTTTGCAAACTATTTGCTATTGGTGATTGGCGTCCCGCCCTTCTTGAGTTATCTCTGTTTTCTTGGTTGAGAAAATGGAAGACATGAAGTTGCATTGCTTGGTGCATAAGTTTTGTGCATTTTCGTGCGGGTGTTGCTGCACTTTATTGCGGTATTATAATTTGCGCAAGTTTCGTCAGTACCTTAGCCTGACATGTTTTCTTCAAATTTAAATGCGTGTATACACTTACGGTAAAGCGCTTAAATGATTTTCAGGTGTGTGAGCTCTACTTCAAGCCATAATATTTAAAACCACTACAAAATATACCGATCCAAGGCCCGTCAGCGCAGTAGAAGCGCGCACGGAAGCTTATTCTAGACCTAGTACTAAAACTTTTCCACGCCTTACGATGGATGAGCTAGCACGAAGCACTGTGGGAGAGGCCAGAGCAAAAGTCGAAACACCACTCCTTGGGGCGGACACAAGTGAATTTTGTGAAGCGAAAGATTGTGTTTTGCCTTGCAATATTATTCACCCGGATATTGTGCTGAATAACATATTTGTAGCAGCAGAATACCTCTTCTCCATAACTTCGGGTCTATGAAGACATGAACGAGTACAAATGAAACTGCATAAAATTGCGAATGAGTAGGAACAGTTCTGCATGTTCTAGATATCGTGCGTGTGTGCTTGTGTACGTGAGTAATTAAGAATGAATAAAATTTCCCCTATTTAATTTCGTCACTCTATTGGTCAATCAAGTTTTTCTGTTATATACGACGCGTTGAATAGCGCAGAATCTGAGTTTTTCGTGGAAAAAGTCACTCAGATGTGAATCTCCTAACGCTTTCAAGTGCAATACATTACTTATATCAGCGCCATTTTTTGACGCAAAAAGTTGAGTAAAGCTGTTGAGCATACAAAACTCGCCGTGAACGCTTATCTTGTAACGAGAGACGATGGTGGCAATGAATTCACTTGCTCCCGTACGCGCGCTCACTCGGGCAAAACGAGTGACGTTACGGCGACAGTGAGCAGGCCTTAAAGAATTCTAGGTGGCGTTGCCCCATCAATCGCGAGTGTACCAGAAGCATAGTTCTACGGGCCAGTTCGCCACGCATTCGTAAAAAAAAAACAGAGTGGTAGGAGGGGCTCTTTTTCGCATTCATGCACTCAACTGTGCTTCGTGGATTGTGATACATTTTAGTTCGTGCTCTTCTTGCCATTCAGACCTACAAGAGTGGTCTACTGTACCAAACGCCGCGATCGCGCATTAAGTGTCCCACTAATGTACAGCTCTAAAAGACCAACGAAGTAAGTCAGTTCCGTGCCACGAGGTGAACTTAATATTACTTGTAGGAGCCACCTGTACTGATTCGAAAAATGAAGTGATGTCCAAATGGGGAATGTTATCACGAGTCTACACGCTTTCTTGACGTGATTTTTTGTGTTTTCACTGTACACTTAAAACCAAGTGTAAGTTCATAAAGCTATATAAAAATTTAAAACCTCCAACAGGTGTGATGCCAAAGTGATTCAATCGGACGAAACTCAGAGGTAATCATAGTGCTATGCGAATACAGCCAGCTGTTCAATGAAGAAACGGCAGCAACTTTCTAATAACGAGTACGTACCACAACACGACTGAAATTCTAATAGCGATTCAGGCGTGACAGTAACGGTCATTCCTGAATGGTTTATTTTAAATTGAGACATTCTATGAAATATTGAAA